AGACAGACTTTGCTTTAGGTGGCGTAGTGCCTGCTCGCATTCCTCATTCCATTCGAAGGTTGCTTCCTTTCGAAGGAGTTTGAAGAAGGGGAGGGCGTGCTGAGCGGATTTCACGATGAAGCGGGACAGCGACGTGAGCATGCCGTTCATGATTTGTATCGACTTCTTCGACGTCGGTGTTGGGAGGTCGGAGAACGCCCGAAATTTGTCGGGGTTGGCTTCGATTCCCCGTTCTGTTAGATAGAATCCAAGGAATTTTCCTGCCTTGACCCCGAACGTACATTTCTCGGGGTTGAACCTCATTTTACACTATCTTGCTTGGGCAAAGACTGTCTTGAGATGAGCTGCATGGTCGGTGTCTGCCCGGGACTTGACGATCATGTCGTCCATATATACCTCGAGCATGTCGCCGATCTGTTTGTTGAAAACTCTGTTCATCATGCGCTGGTAAGTTGCTCCAGCATTTTTCAGTCCGAAGGGCATTATGTTGTAGTAATAGTTGCCCGAGCTGGTCATGAATGCCGTGCAATGTTTGTCGCCCAGGGCCATTGGGATTTGGTTATAGCCCGAGTAGGCGTCCATGAACAACAAAGTTTTGTAGCCGGCCGAGTTGTCGACCAGCATATCTATGTTAGGCAAGGGAAAAGCATCTTTCGGGCAAGCCCGGTTGAGATCAGTATAATCAACGCACATTCTCCATTTTCCATTATTCTTTTTCACGAGTACAACATTTGACAGCCAGGTGGAATACCGGGCTTCAGAAATAAAATTTGCCTCTAGGAGGTCTTTTACAGCTTTTTCAGCAGCCTCCGTTTTTTCTGGAGACTGCCTACGCCTACATTGTACTACGGCCCTAGCGGCTGGATCGATGGCGAGGTGGTGACAGGTGACCTCAGGGTCGAGTCCGGGCATCTCCGCAGCGCTCCAGGCGAACAGATCAGCATTCTCACGCAGACAAGCCTTGATTTGCTTCCTGGCCAAGTCGGGGAGGTCTTTGCCAATTTTCACTCCCTTGGTCGGGTCTGTGCCGAGGGGAACGAGTTCAAAATCCCCGTCCGGTATTGGTCGGAGTGGGATTTGCTCGCTGTTGGATGGCTCGTCCTGATCGAAGCGGGTGTCCAGAGCTATGGAATCGACCTTTGGTGGAGCTTTCTGGACTTCTTCCTCGGGGGATGCTTTACTGTCGGGCTCCTGTTTTGTCCTTTTGGCGGGTCTGGTCCCTATGTCGACGGTATCCCGTCCCTTAGAAGCGGCGTTGAAGCACCTGCGGGCAGCGGCTAGGTCTCTTTGGATGGTGGCTACCCGTGCCCTCCTGGTGTAGAACTTTATCTTCAGGTGGACGGTCGAGGGCACCGCTGTTAGTTCTGCCAGTGTCAGTCTCCCCAAGATGCAGTTGTACAGAGACGGGCAGTCAATGACGAGGAAACGGACTTTAACTTGTCTCGTAGCCGTTCCTTCGCCGAACGTAACCAGGAGCTCGACATAACCCCAAGGTTTGGAAGTCGAGCCATTGAAGCCTTGTAGATCCGACCCCACATATGGAGAGAGATGTGAGTCGTCCAGCTGTAGGGTTCGGAACAGTTGGCTGTACATCACGTCGACGGAACTCCCTTCGTCGACCAGGATGCGATGTACGTCAAAATTGGCCATTCTTGCCCTTATCAGTAAGGGGATGACCGCGTTCGGGGCTCCGCCGGGGAGCTCTTCTAGGTAGAAGGTGATGGGCTCCAACCTGCCCTTCACCCTTTCGAACGTTACTGTTTACGGTGGAGCCGCGTCGACCAGCTCGTCCAACTTCCTCTTAGCTGAATTGATGGTGAGGTCGTTGAACCCGCCCCCATTAATGACCATGGCGGAGGGAAAGTATTCCCACCTGCTGTGCGTTGTCAACGGTTCCTGCAGGTGCTCGGGAATGTCGAAGTCCTCGGGCCTGGTCACCGAGAAGGTGGTCTGGATAGGCACCGACTCGTCTGATGGTCGGGCGTCTTCTTCTGGCTCCTTGGCTTCATGGGCGTCACGACGAGGAGCGTCGTTCCGCCGGTACTGCGCGAGCCTCCCTCCCTTGATGAGGGTTTCAATGGCGTCCTTGAGGTGGACGCAGTCCTCTGTCAGATGGCCATGACTCCTATGGTATTGACAGTATTTATTTTTGTCCTCCCCAGGCTTGGCGGGAGCAGGTCGGGGACGCTTGACGCCGCCGTCCTTGAAGTCTGTACTGGCACACTCCGCCAGGATACGCTCGCGGGAAGCTGTGAGCGGAGTGTACTCGGTGAAACGGCCCGAGGGGCCCCTTTGTTCCCGGACTTCCCGGGGTCTGTCTTCTTTCCTTTTCTCCCCGGTTCGTCGAGGAGGAGCCTCTTGGCGCGAGCTGCTATTGTTGGGACCCCGAGTCCTGGAATCTCGGGCCCTGTTGGCCGCCTCCCTCTCCTTGTAATCCATGTATGCCCGAGCTTTTTCGAGGAGGGCGTTGAAAGACCTGGGCGGCTCGATTCCCACGGCTTTTCTGAACTCTGTGCCGGGGAGGAGCCCCATCTCCAGCAGATATCTCTTCATGTGGTCCGTGCAGGGGACCTGTATCGCTTCTCGGTTGAAGCGGTTGATGAACTCCCTCAAGGTCTCATCCTATCTTTGGATGATGGCCTCGAGCGCCGCCTCGGTCTTTGGATGGCGTCAAGAAGCGGTGAAGGAACTGATGAACTGGTTCTTCAGGTTCCGCCACGAGGTGATTGAGCCCAGGGCGAGCCCTTTGTACCAGTCCATGGCCGCCTTCCTGAGAGTCGTGGGGAAAAGACGACACTTGATGCCCCCCCGACATTATGATAATGGAGCATAGCCTCGAACCCGTCAATGTGGTCGACCGGGTCCGCGACTCCATCGTACTCCTTCAGATGTGGGGGCTTCTCCATGCCCGGGGGGATGGGTGCATCCATGATGGCCTGTGACAGGGGACCGCGGGGGTCGTCCTCGTCGCTCCTCTCCAGAGACAGAGATGGGGACCTGTAGTATTGTCTGGCACGGTGGTCGTGCTGAGTCTCCCTCGAGCGTGATGCTCGTTGGTTGAATGTTACACGCCCGTCTCCGGCGTGTCTCTTGTCGTGCCTTACCGGATCGCGACTGGGTTCTCTGGCAGGGATGACGAGCTCTCTCTCCAAATATGGTCGCCTCTGCTTTGGCCGTGGGGATGGGCTTCGAGAGGTCTCCCTGTAGTGTCTCCGCAGGGGAGAAGGGTGTCGGGCCTCAGTCACCCGAGGAGGGGGAGTATGTGGTCTCCGATGTCTCCTCGAGGGTCTTCGCTCGTCTTCAAGCGCCTTTAACCTCTCTCCTTGAGCGAAGATGAGATAGTTCGTTTGATTAATTGCTGCGAACAGCGCTTGTGTGGTGGCATCCGCCCCGGAGGGGACGGGGACTTCCTGAAACCGGGCGACTCTGTAGTGGGCGAGGGCCTCCGGGTCGTCCTCGAGTGGTGGTGGGAGTGAGGAGGATGATGCAGTAGCCCCGTCCCTGTATGAGGAAGTTCCGGGGACGGTTGTTGCAGGAATGGTGTTGTGGCCGGGATTGCCGGCGTTGTCGAGATGTCCGTTTTTGTCCGCCGTGCCGTTATTAGTGTCGGCGACACGGACGTTCTGCTCATCGCGAGCTGGATCAGCCATGACAGGTAGTTGAATATGAGCTTTGGTCTTTTGAGTTGTTTGTAAGACGGGGAAGCTAGTTTCCCACAGACGGCGCCACTGATCTGACCTGATCAGACTTGGACCGTCACGGCTGGCTCCGAGCTGAAAGTTTTGAACGAGGTGGGGGGGGGGGGGGGGGGGGTACCTGCAAGACACTCCGATGCTACAGTAAGTAAGAGCACGAGCAGGCAAATAGTAAGTATGGGCAGAATGATGAATACCTGACCCTCTGGAAGCAGAGGGTATTTATAGCCCCCAGCGCTGGGCCAAGGTTCCTTCATTGGGCCGGGCAGGTTTGACCCAATGGAGGAACTGCCAGGTTCTACGTGCGTAGTGGGGACCCGCACGTGGTCCCCTCCCTGGATGTTCTGCGTGAAGTGCGGGCGGACAGAGACGCGGTCTTTTCGGGGTCTCGTTGGGAGTGCAGTGGACTGAGTCCGCTCTAGTTGGGGTGCTCGAGGTGATGTCGAGCTGGACAGCAGGATGTCGAGCTGGACAGTTGGAGGTCGAGCAAGTAACCTCAGAGAGCACGTCGGGCACGACTGTGACTCTTTGGTCAGCGTGACCCTCAGCAAGTCCGTTTGAATTGGGCCTTATCAATGCTATTGGACCTGTCGGGCCCAGTCCAGAACAGTAAGGAGTTCTCATAAAATTTTACTCATGTTTTTCTATCTATAGCTTTTACTTATTTTGCCCATTTTTACTTATGTTTTCTTTTATATAATTTTAATTACAAATAATCTTTTGTCACATTTAACACTCCAATTAAAAATATATATTTTGGTCACATTTAACAATCTTTAAAGACGTTAGAAACTCACAGCTTAGAAATAAAATATCATCTTCTCCGTTATGGTTTGAATAAAAGTATTTACAACTAGTAGTTAAATTATCTCCTAACTTCCCAGTTTTGCAACACAAGTTAATAAAAACTATGTCGGCAAAAAAGATTAGTATAACATCACAAGTTAATATACTAATTTTTTCAAAATTGATAATCAATTATATTATTTGTCGATTTGTTTTCTGCTCCATACATTCACATGATTAAAAAAGGACATGCAAGTCCGCAAGCTATTACTTCCCTTCCAAGCTTTTTTGCTTACCCTACAAGCCATCTTGTAGAATAACCAATTTTTGACATTTTTGAATTAAGTCAAATATTATTTTATTTTATATTTATTAAATATGATTAAATAATTTATTTAAAAAAATCAAATTTATTTATAATTTATTACAGAAGAAATATATTCTTATATATAATGTCCACTCATCTTGAAACCTTATCATTTCAATCTTCAACAAAGAAAGAGTAGAGGTAGCAAAAGCATGGGAGAAGAAAAAGAGATGAAAGTGGTTGAAGGTTTAGATCTTGAAAGGTATATGGGAAGATGGTACGAGATAGCTTCTTTTCCATCAAGGAATCAGCCAAAGGATGGATCCAACACACGAGCAACATACAAACTCAACAGTGATGGAACTGTTGATGTTCTTAACGAGACTTGGAGTGGTGGCAAAAGAGGTTTTATTCAAGGATCTGCTTTTAAGGCTAACCCTAATAATGATGAAGCTAAATTCAAAGTCAAGTTTTACCTTCCTCCATTTCTTCCCATTATTCCTGTTACAGGTAATTATTGGGTTTTGGCTATTGCTCATGATTATCATTATGCTTTGATTGGTGAACCAACCAAGAAATCCCTTTGGGTGAGTCTTTTTCTCCTTTCTCTTTTTGCTGAATCATCTCAAGTTTTTGTATGCCCTCAAAAACGGTCTAAACTATTTAAATAATTTTGATCAATTTTGGTATGCAGATATTATGTAGGGAGACTCGTTTAGATGATGATATCTATAATGAACTGGTTGAAAAGGCAAAGGAAGAGGGATATGATGTCACCAAACTCCGCAAAACACCTCATACTGATACACCGCCGGAGGAAGAAGGCCCCCAAGACAACAAAGGCATTTGGTGGTTTAAATCCATTTTTGGAAAATAGCTCTTGCATATATATCATTAAATTATGCACAAATTCTGTCTTTGCTTTTTTAAGCATTCTGTTTGTTCTATGTATATGTTCTTTCATATTTCTAGATATATTGTGTAGATTCTTAAAGTAATGGAGTATTTGTATATAAATTCAATTGTCTACACTTGGCTGTTGCTGTTACAAGTTTGATTCGATTAAATGTGATTTGTTGATATGCTTATCTGTTTGTCACTGTTTTAAACTTTTTATTTATTTTATCAAAAAAATTAAGTATCATGTTTCTCTTTTATAAACTATATCCATCAACCTCTAGTATGCTTCATTGTGGCAACGAGGTATTGTTTTGGATGTAAAAGTTTTTATTGATTTGTTCTTTAAAAATATGTTTTGTTGAATTGAGGTGTTTAGGTGTTATATATAATCTACTTTTTAATTTCGATTATCAAATTATGTGGTATTATTTTTGTAAACTCGAGGTGGCAGTTGCTCTCAATCGAGGTTAAGGGGCATGGTAAGAACGTCATGTTTTCATAGATGGAGTCAATGTTCTGTATAGATTGATCTCAAATTCGCACCACTAGACTATAATGTATTTGTTAAGAAATGTGGTTAGGCATAATTCATCCCTATAAAACTGGCTTTTAGGGTGAGGATTATTCCTACTTATAAGCACATGATCGGGTCATATATTGTCCGATGTGCTACTCTTAACACACACCCTCACTCTTAGGACTGAATATCTGGAGCGTGGAAATAAATGTTGGATGGTTCAAAAGCAGAAACCTAATAGTAGGGAGTCTATCATATCTTAAATCAAGGCTCTTTATACCATGTTAAAAAATGTGATTAGGACTAACTCAACCCTACAAATTCAACTTTTAGAGTGAGGATTGCCACCACTTATAAGCACATGTTCGGACCATATATTATCCTATATGGAACTCTTAATAGTATTGTCTGCTTTGGGTGTGAGAACCCTCACGACTTTGTCCTTTAGAAAAGGTGTCTCGTTGAGTTGAGATGTATATTTATAAACTATCCTTAGTCTTGATTCTCAAGTAATATTGGACTATTTTGGCAACCCGTAACAGTTTCCTCACAATCAAGGCTAAGAGGCATGGTGCAAACATCGAGTTCCCACAACGTTAATGTTATGTATTGGTCAACCTCAAGTTTATGTCACTGCGATTATGAGGTATTGTCCACTTTGGGTGTGATCTCTCACAGATTTGTCTTTTAGAAAATGTGTCTCGTTGAGTTAAGGTGTATGGGTGTTGTTTATAAATTACTCTTAGTCTCGGTTCTTAAGTAACATGTAGCTATTTTGGCTAATTTGAGATATTTTCCCCAGTCAAAGCTAAGGGGAATGGTGTGAACGTCAAGTTCTCACAGACGGAGCAATTGTTATGCGCGAAAACCATTATTAATTAGTGATCGATGAATGTGAATTGCAATGGTGGACTTGGGCTTCTGGTGTGGTGGAAGGGGGTGATCTGTAAGATTAACACTCCAAGATTCAAATCAGTGTGAGAGTAAGATGAGTGAATGAAATTTAAATTAAAAAATTACTTGAAAAATGGTGTGTCTCCCTCTTATATAGTGGAACGGTTATAACTAATTGTTGAACTATAGGCGTGAAATGCAGAGATTCATCTCATTGATCTTGGGTAACATGCTTGATCTACATGTGACATGGTGGATCGTTCTTCTCTTTAGGCCACAATTATTAGGGATTGTGCCTGGCCATAATAGATTTCTAAATTTATTGTTAAAGTAGCCTTAAAATCTTAAGCGATGAAGAGAAAAAAATGTTTTGAGATAGCAGAAACCTGCTAGTGGGGACGGCATAACAGTTGGTCTGAACAAGGTTCAGTCAGTTGGAGCTCGGTTCTGATTTACTTGGTTCACGTGTATTGGGATTCGTTGCTTTTTATTAATGGATGCGTTTATTAATGAGTTGTTTTTTGAGTTTTTATGGATCTATTGAATGATAACAATTATAAATTTGTATCTCTTGCATACTTTTGTTATGACAACCTTCAGAACTTTATAGTTGAAGACAAAGAGAATGGTTTGGAAAACTAGTGGTATTCTTAGAGAGGCAATGGTAAATTTCTATGAGTGACTTCTTGGAATTTGAGTAAACCTTAGATATATCTAAGATGAATTGGGAAACACTTCTAAACATCTTGGATTTGTGTGATTCACATATAGAGAGTTGGAGGGATTGTGAAACACTTTGGTAGAAAATTGATTTTATTCTTGGAAACACGAGTGTCTATTTTTTTAACTCATTTGTAATATATTGATTCATGTTTGATGATCTAGGTTGTTGCATGAATACACGGTATTGAAAATTTTTCATGGTGAAGTGATCATAGCTAAAGAGTCTAAAATATGTATTTATATATTTTAAAAGATTTCAATGTTTTTATTCATTCATCATCAGCTAGATAAGACTTTCATAACAAGAAAAGTTGTGTGAGGCATGTTGGATGTCTGGAAGTTGTTTTCGAGCACTTTAATGAGATCTGTAGAAAACAAGGGGTAAAAAAGTAAGATTTCTCTCACCCCCTCACTCTGGTGAATTTTCCTTTTAGTTCTTGTAGTGGTTTAAATTATGCCTAAAAGGAGATTTTCCCGACATACCACCTAGGGATACCCAGACCCATTCGAAGGTCTGGTAGCATAAAGCGAAATAAATACCCACATGGTGGGGGAGATCTCTAAACCTTTGCATACCATCTCAAAAGCCCCGATAAAAGACCAATTGTTAGAGAGTAACTAGGAATGTGTAACATTGATAACCCTCGGGACTTCCATGGAAAAAGGGGAATGAGGGATATCCCTGATGTTAAGGGAGATAAAAGTTAAAATAGGGAGAGTCGTAAGAGACATCCATGGTAAAATTCTCTAAGAGCGCACAAGCCTCCAAGTTGACAAACCATTTATATTTTGAAGAAGAAATCACCACTTTTGTTTGGAAGGAGAGGATACGCTCTTTAGTGATGTAAGAGGACCCAATATCCTTTCTTCTTTAGGTACGACGGATGAGGCAACCATTGTATCTTTGTTCTTGGGAAATTATAAGAACAAAAATAAATCACTACCAACATCACAATTGCTAAAGGAGCCACCAAAGTCCTCAAATTCCACTGCTTTACTCTAACCTAGATCCTACCACAAGTCTTCTCATACCGTCCCCAACTATAACTACTATAAAATAAAGGTAAATGGATATAATCCATGCCTGAGGAGGATGAAAATGAGAAGCTTGTAGAAAAATTCGACAAGTCAAAATCAAGAAAAGTTTTTAGAAGTCAAGGGAACAAAATGAGCAAAAGAAGTGGAAAAAGGAAAATGAGAAAGCCTTTATAAAGAGGGTGAGGCGACAAGCACTCACTCAAAGAAACCTTTTGAGCTCCTCTAAAATTTTGAAAATGCTCAGAATGTTTCCAACATGTGTCGCTAATGTTTAGCGTCTCAAATATAAACCATCATTACCCACATTAAATAAAAACAAGTGTGTCCGTCTGAGTGATTGATGTTTGAAACTCTCAACTGACACTCTGGATACTAAATAGATAGTTGGAAATGGGGTGGTGACTCCCCCCAGTTGATGGATTCACTTCTTATTATATGAGTCATCTTTAGCTGAGGGACTAGCTCCAAACTGAGGGACTTGCCTCCCATTAGAGGAGTCTTCTTCAGTCGAGGGACTCGCCTCTCACAAGAGAAGTAACTTTCAAATGACGGAGTCACTTTCCATTAATGGAGTCACCTCCAGCTGAGTCGCCCCTGACAACAAAGCTCAACCCGAGAGAAGTTTGAAAACACTTCAATTTACAAATCCCCGTGCTCGGGGGATTTTATAGTTATATATTTCTAAGACCCCCAAATAAGGGAAACACACGAGTCCCCAAGCGTGACCTTTACGTGGCATGAGGGCTTTCCTTCAATAAAGATTGTATAATATCGTTACCCAAGCACTAACCACACGAACAAAATCATACCATGACTCCTTAGAAAGTAGGCAGTCATCACTCTCCCCTAGTCAAGTAGGAACGATTACTACCTCTTAGGGTTTCTTAAACCATAGGCTCAATGACCTCTATAAATACATTGTTTCTCCCTGGGTAAAAGGACAAATCAAAACTTACCCAACATAACGCTTAAACACTTAGCCTCTCACCTTAAGTGAGACGAGCCTTTCTTACCACCGTAAACATCATTGTGAGCAAAGTACATGTTATATGTGAGTGCATGAATATAAATTTCTTACTTCAATTGGTTTGGTGTTTATTCTATAAAAATTTATAGCAAAAATATATCAGGGATCCTTTAAGTTTTTTTTGTTACACGTTGGTTCTTTAAGTTAACTAATGTGTGCACCGTTATCTTTTTTTAACGGGAAAAATATGTTAATTGTGGATGCAATTATTTTGAGTGGTACGAAAACGATGAAGTGTAATCAGAAATACAACAATTAACATTTCTTAATATTCAAAATGTGAGAAGAATGAGATAAAAATCACCCAAAATATCAAATTGTTATAAAAAAAGACTTAAAGGACCACCATATTAAAAAAATAATTTAAAAGACTTCTGATATATTTTTGCCAAATTTATAATATGTGTCTTTTAGTCTAAATATATACATTGTTTTTTTCCCTAAGAAATTTTTGGATATAACTAACTATTAAAAAAAATTCCATTTTTTACAAGCCTATATGTTTTAGCTTTAAAAAAATACATTTTTTCTTTGTATTTAAAAAAAAAATTATAAAATAGTTTTTCAAAATATTAAAAAAAAAGTATATTTGTCTTTTCTAAATTAAAAGACTAATTTTGATATCATATAACATAAATATATATTAATGAAAATTAAAATATAATAGAAATCATAACTTTTTAAGAAATCATATCTTAAAAATAACTTTTATGAAAAATTATTTGACAGAGCTTCAAAATTAAGTGATTTATTAAAATTTTAATACTCAAATTTTATT